TATGCAAGTTGCATTTGCCCAGTCAAATCTGGCAGGACGTTCCAAGACTTGGGCACTGGGGCTCAAGTTACACGACCCATATGCGTTTGGGTCGCTGGAAGTCTTCAAGTCACGGCTCAGACAAACGTTTGAACCGCCTAGAGCTGAGTTCAGGGCTCGAACCGAACTCTTGAAGCTCAAGCAGGGTAAGCGTGATGTGCACGCTTACGCTCAACATATACGACATCTCACGAGTTGTATAAGTTCCAATCCGGTGGATGAACACACGTTGGTTTCGGTGTTCATGCAGGGTCTTGCGGATGGTCCCGTCAAGACTCACCTGTTCCGATATGAACTAGATTCACTAGAACAAGCCATTTACATTGCTGAACAGGAAGACTTCAGTCTGAGACAGGCTCGCGCCAGCTCGACATCATATCGTCAACCGAGACGATATGACAGCGGAGGTCCAGAGCCGATGGAACTCTGTTATGTAGAGAGCAAGAATGCTCGCTCTACAGACTACAAGAAGTTGCAGATATGCAACAGATGTCAAAAGACAGGACACTACGCTTACGAGTGTAGTGCCCCTCGTCCAGTGTCTCGCAACACTGGGCGTAGTGACCGTCCACCCATGAGAAAGGGGCAGGGACGCGGGTCTGCTGGTGGTGCAAAGACGCAACAACGGGATGGACCGTCAAAAAACGGACAGGATCAGTAGGTGCGGAGCACCCTACTGGTCTAGCAACGTCAAGAGAATTTGTAGGCCTCTTGATGAAGGTTGCTCCCAACACACAAACGTTGTTCGTTGCTGCTCTAGGTAATGAGGTCTCACTCATTACCTTGAAACTCGAAGTGACGAATAAGTTGTCCCTTCGAGCTCTAGTCGATTGTGGGGCGTCCAACAATTTTGTGCGACGCCAATCGCTAGAAGATGGTCACTTTAAATTCAGAGAATGTGACACACCTCCTACGAGGATGACGGTACGTCTTGCGACAGGCGCATCCGTAACCGTCATGAAGCGTATAGTGAAGATCCACTATACGCTAGAAGATACCCAATATGACGATGACTTTATCGTATTGGATTTGGATGACAAATTTGATGTCATCCTTGGAATACCGTGGCTTAGAAGGTACGAACCACGGGTAAACTGGCAACATCGGACAGTAACGATGCCTGCCGCTTGTTCATCAGATGGCCATCTGATGAACGTTTTGGAGCGTCCACAAGCGTGTGGATGTACTACGAGTGAGTGCGATGGCCTCACTTGTGGTACGGTCGTTAGTACGACTGCACAAAACCTTAGTGTACCAAACGGTTACACTTCGGAGCAAAGTTCCGGCGGCTGTGAGGAAACAGCCGAAGGTCCACCACTCGAATAAGTCGAGTGGACCGGTACAAAGATGTATCCCTAGCGGGGAACATCTAGAAGAGAAACAATCGATCGCTCAGGTTAAGCGAAACGATGATCCTAGATCGACTGGAGAGTCTTTCGTAGAGGATCTCGCTGTGGTTGCGCAACCACAGCTAGAGGAAGTTAGGGGAATAAGTTCCAAGATTACAAATGCGGCGGAAATAAGTTCCCCGAAACCCGAGGGAATAATTCCCCGGGAAGCAGAAGGAATAAGTCCTTCGAGGCCTGAGGGAATAAGTCCCCAGGAAATGACAGAGACATTGAATGTCATAGTCAATAATGGATCAAGTGTAGGCGCTTATACACTTGATCTGATTGCGCCTCCGAAGTTGACTTCGGAGATCACTCAGTTGCCAACGCTCGAACATAAAAGGTTCTTGCGTTACTTTGTGATGCAGATTCCGCAAGCACTTGCTGTCTACCGCGAGATGGCCAGTCGTGGAGTAGTCATTCGTTATCGCGGCAACCAACATTTGCTTACTGACTGCGTTCGTGCTACGATCTACGTAGTGTCAAAGTCAAGCAGATCTGCGTACTCGTCGCTGACGACGAGTGTGTAACCGACATAAGGTCAGCAACAGTGTTTACTGAGAACGAGAGAGTTCTCAGTAGTTCATCTATGGACGAGAGTGTCCTGGATGAAAAGACACGAATTGAGCGATATGACTCCCAATCGTGGGAATCGCTCAAGACAAATCCTCTCTATGAAGATTTGGTTGAATTCAAGGATGTATTCCCTGGAACTGTTCCGTGCGAGTTACCGAAGGATAAAGGTATTCGACACGAGGTCGAGCTTAAACCAGGCTCGAAGTGCTGTGTCATGAAGCAGTGGCCACTGCCTAGTGAACAAGTACTTGCGATCGACAAGTTCTTTGCCGATCGTTTAGCAGCGGGCCATGTGAGGGAACCAACTTCCCCACATAGCTCTCCGACCTTCTGTGTGCGAAAAGCAACAGGAGGGTGGCGGATAGTGCATGCATTTAACAAGTTGAATGCTGCAACGGTACCGGCTCAGACGCCGATACCGAGGAAGGACGTCATCATTGATGGTATGTCAAAGAGTACCATCTTTTCGTCCATGGATTTGATGGATGGCTTCTATCAAATCCTTATGCGGGAACGGGATATACCCTATACCGCAGTTAGCATGCCTAGCGGCATGCTCTGGGAATGGCTAGTAATGCCACAAGGGCTCAGTAATGCCCCTGCCACGTTCAACAGATGTGTATCACATCTGTTGAGACCAGTACGAGAATTCGCACCGAGTTATTTCGATGACGTATTCATCCATAGTCGAGCTATGGATGGAAAGTCGGACGTTGAGGTTCACAGGTACCACGTTCGACAGGTTCTTACAATCATGCGAAAGCATCAATTGTATGCAAACCTCAAGAAGTGTATATTTGCAGCAAGCGAAATACCACTTCTTGGATACATCGTTGGTAAGAACGGTGTTCGTCCTGACCCGAAAAGATCAAGGCGATCACCGACTGGCCTGTGCCGGTTGATGTCAAAGGTCTTCAAAAATTCCTTGGGTTAGCGGCGTATTTGCATAAGTATTCACGCAATTACGCCGAGATGACTGTGCACCTCTCTCGTTTGTTGAAAAAGAACGAGAGGTGGTTATGGAACGCTGAATGTCAGCGCTCCTTTGATGGTATCAAGCAGAGCTTGATACAATCCCCAGTCCTAGCAATAGCCGATCAGGACAGGCCATTTCATGTGGTCTGTGATGCCAGCGATTTCGCAATCGGCTGTGCATTAATGCAGTACGATCTTGAAGGCGTTGAACGCGTCGTCTGCTATCAGTCACGTCAGATGCAACCAGCTGAGCGGAACTATCCAGTGCATGACAAGGAACTCTTTGCCATGAAGTATGCACTCGCGAAGTTCAGAGTCTATCTATTAGGAGATAGACCCTTCATTGTTTACACTGACCATGCGTCATTACGCACAGCAGTGAACAGCCTGCACCCTTCACAACGAATGGCGCGGTGGTTGTCATTCTTTGCGGAATACAACTTTACGGTCGAGTACAAACCAGGACGACTTAATGTCGTCGCTGATGCACTCTCACGTCGTCCCGACTTTGAACCAGTCGTGAAACCCAACAGTGAGACAGTCACTGTTGCGGTTATGACGTCCTCAGTTCCATCTACAACGTTGTATGATGATGTGAGGCGGGCATACGCCCAAGATGGTGAGATATTGAAGTTGTTGACACATCTCTCCCAACCATCTCGAGAACCGTTGAAACGATTATCGTCTACGTATCGATCTGCATCAGATCGATACACTACTCGTAACGGTTTACTGTATTATACAGCCGTTTCTGGTGACACACCACGTGTTGTCATTCCAGATGATACTGATCTGCGTTTGCGGATCATGTTCGAGTATCACGATGCTCCTATAGGAGGACATCGTGTCCGGGAGAAAACATATCTCACGGTGAGTCGAGACTTTACTGGCCCCGCCAGTATCAGTTTGTGCGAAAGTATGTTCGCGCATGCGAAGTCTGCCAACGAGTGAAGTCAAGTCCTTCACTGCGTGCACCTTTACAGCCTCTACCGGTTCCGGCTGAGTGCTGGGAATCCATCTCAATGGATTTCGTCTTCGGGTTACCCAAAGACGCACGCGGGAATACGGGTGTTCTCGTATTTGTTGACAGATTCAGCAAAATGGTACACCTTGTGGCTGTACCAGAGACAATCACGGCAAGTGGCTGTGCTTGTGTCTTTATTGACACCATCTTCCGACTTCATGGGTTGCCCCGTGAACTCGTATCAGACAGAGATCCACGATTCACTGCTGATTTCTGGCGTTCCGTGTTCAAATCACTCGGAACGCGCTTGAAGCTGTCAACATCTGATCATCCAGAGTCAAATGGTCAGACGGAACGTGCCAATCGTGTCCTTGAAGAGATACTTCGAGGATACGTACACTCCTTTAAGAGTTGGAGTGAGTTTTTGCCAATGGTAGAGTTTGCCATCAACAACTCGGTGCATGCGTCCACGACACATACACCGTTTTACGTGAATGGCTTGCGCCATCCGCGTGTACCTACCTTACTAGAATGTAACTCTGGTTTAAGGGGGGGAGGGACTCGCGCGAGCAAAAACCGATTTGGTTCACGCTCATCACGCTCTGACGAAGAAGTCATTGCGTTTGATGCCGATATCGATAACATCGATATCGAAGAACGTGATGCCAGTGAGAGTGCGGAAGCCCTCACTGAAGAAAAGGTTGATGTTGCTGCAGTGCGCTCACAGCACACTGAAGCTAACGAGTCATCAGATGAGTTCATACTGGCTCGTCAAACGGTAGTCCGTTTTGTGCAAGACTCCATCGCCGAAGCGGTGGATAAGCAAAAGCGAAACGCTGACAAGAATGGAAGGGCAAACACTCTTTTATTTAATAAAGGTGACTTAGTCCTACTGTCTACGGTTAATCTACCAAAGCATGTAGTGACTAACTTGGGTAGCAGTAAACTACTACCCAAGTACATCGGCCCATTTCGGGTATTGCACCGCCTAGGCAATGCATACACGATCGAGTTACCACGTAAGATGCGAACGCATCCCACGTTTTACGTTGGTCGGCTTAAGCCGTACCATCAGTACGCTGCTTCTTCCGATGAAGAACGCCCTTGCGCTCAAGCATCTCGCAGAGAGCCTTGTGCTCCCGATGGTGGGCATCAACAAGGGTCTGAAGAGCAGCTATCTCATCCCGAGACCGATCAGCAATTTCACGAGCTACCCTTAGCTCTTCACGAAGAGATGTCAGAGATCTCTCGTTCTCAAGCTGAGCAAAGGCAAACTCAGCTCGATGCTTCAAGACAGTGTCCGCCATTTGGAGACGCCTATTCCGCTCATGTTCGAGATCGTCGCGTAACCCTTGCGTTACGCGATCAAAGAAGCTCTCGGGAACACACGGATCCACATGATCGTGTGGAGAGTGTCTTTCCTCCTCCTCCACCTCCATTAGAGGACTCTCGCGGTGGCCAGCGCTATCTAGTTGAACAGCTGTTGAACCACCGCGACGTGAACGGACGTCGGACGAGTTATCTCGTCCGGTGGCGCGGCTATCCCCCGTCCTGGGATGCTTGGGAGCCCCGCTCCCAACTGATGGTTGACGTACTGGGTCTGGTTGAGCAGTACGACGCGGCACATCCTGTGCCAAAGAAGGACCGCCGGAGAAGGTCTTCCCGGCAGGGTCGTAAAGTGATTTTAGGTTGTCAATCCCTTCGTACATCTCACTAGAGATACGTACGCGCCACCACGGGCTAGTAAGGAGGTAAGCCTCCTTAGGTGCTCGTGCAGAGTTGTTCACACAACATGGGCACAAGTCTCCCCAAGAGAGGCAGGGTAATCCTTTCTCCCTTGACAGACGATGCAGCTTGTAGCGTGCACCTGTCGGGGTTCGCTTTTCAAACTTATCGCGAGCTTTGATAAGTTTGTCGTTCCAAGCGTCACGACCTACATCCTCGAGGTTATGGATGTAGGAGTTCCACGCCTGAAGTAGTGAGGGACCATCACGTTTGTGATTCCCACTGTACCATCGATGTCTAAAGAAAGCATCGATGAAGAAATCGGTCTCAGTTCGATAGTCTTTCGCACTGGGGTCAAGGTGATGGATCTTGACGAATCGAACAACCGTAGTTCGATAACGATCACTCGTCGTCGCCGACAAGTGATCCATGACGGATTTGGGAGGCATCCATGCCTTCTTCTCAGGAGCAAGACGCAACACACTGCGGTCTCGCTCTTCCTGCGACGTGTTGACAGAAGGACTGGCACCTCGTTGCGAAGTGGTGTCCATAGGAGAACCGACACCACTATTAGCGCCCGAGTCTCGCGACCTCGAGCGCCTTCGCTTCGGCGATGGTTCATTTGATTAATCAGATGAACCAAAGATGCTACGACGCAAAGCATCGTCCATGCCACGCTTGGCAGGCGGCTTAGATTCAATCGCCGTCGATACGGATCCGTCTTCCGTATCAGGAGAGTATGAGACACCGAGCTTATACTCTTTGAAGACATGAGTGTCTTCATGACCAGCGCCTGCATCACCAAGTGACACAGGCTGGGTCGCTTCAGCAACCGATGAGACATCAGTTGCTGTAGTTTCTGCTTCGGCGTCCGCACAGAGACGTGCGGACGCGCTCTCGGCGGCCTTGCTCGCGCATCGCATGGGCTTGTTAACCATGCGATGAGATGTTGGAAAGCGGACGCGGACCAACAAGTGCAAACCCTGTCCCAAATGATTTGGGACGAGTATCCATTTAGTCAATCAGTCACTAAAGTGACTGATGGTTAAGGGGGGGGGGTGATGTAACGGGGTGAACCGTTGCATAACAATTTATAAGAAATTGTTAATAGAATATAACTATAAGAGTTATATTCTCAGAATATTGTCATAAGGACAAATTTTCTGTAGCACTTACGAGTAGTTCCTAATTGGTTGATATAGGCCATTATATCAACCAACGAAGACGCGCCACGACAGACGCACGCAATGAGTGGTGACCAGATATTTGATTTACACATTTGTATTTAGACATAGTTAGATGAAGATAAATAGTGATTTATTGCAGACATTAACTATTATAAATACAGTTCTACTTTTTACTTTAACCAAGTACTCGCTTCTTCTTACCGTCTTCCTCTGCACGTACGAGTGTACGTGAAGTTCCGAGGAACCGCCTTATTCTGTCATCAGAATAAGTAGCTTGTACTGTCACCAGTACAAGCTTCAGGGTGCCCCGTTACATTTAATGGATAAAGCGGACATCAGGCAAAATGGCCGCTCTGGCGCTATTGCGGTAAAACTACGTGATGACTCAGGCTTGCCTCTTGTGTCATTTGGCAGTCCTAAAACAGATCGAACATGAGACCTAGTTTAATGTGTGAGAGTTTGTATGAAATGCTCGGCCATCCAGCACCTAACGAGGTACCTAGTGATAATATGCGGTGTCTGGTCTGTAAAATTTGTCAAAAGGGGACATGGTCGTAGCAAGAGGAGAGTAATCACTCAGTCACACACTGACTTTGTGTTGTAGATTACTAGCTCTTACCCAGGTGTTCTCATATTTATCATCATTACTGCATGTGACTACTTACAACCTTCTGTCTACTGATTGTCTGCATCTGTACGACCATTGGCTTGGAACGAGGTTCCAACAGGAAGATACTTTAACCGCTGATGATAGTGACAATACCCTGCTTCCGTAAGCGCAGTCAACGCGCTGTCAAAGGTGTAAACCTGTTTTTCTGTATTGTGTCGGTACACTGTGTCGGTCAAAACTCAGGTGAGCTTGCTTCACAGGACCATATATTATCTCCAAGGACCATTCTACCTCACGTGCTAGAAATGCTAGCCACAAGTACACCAAAACCTTCCACGGTCTTAGCCGATCGTTTCAAGTCCACCTTCACAGAAATTGTACCACCGCCGCTTGCCTTTTTCAGCCGTAGAAAAGATGGACAAGCTATTTGTAGCAAGCGTATACCAGCCCTACCAATCCACGGACTGAAAACGTTCCAACGAGGCCTGGGCCTCTCCAAGATCCTTTTGCACCTTTATGCGCTTGTAAAAGATCGGGCAATCGCGACTGGAGCACAACACGTCTTGGTGCAAACTGCCCTGGCAGTTTTGGCATTGTGTCCAAAGGCGAGCAAACATGTGCTCGAGCTCATTGACCGACACGAGCTGACGTGAAAATACTTCTGCCTCGCGCTCAATGCAGCTGCGGCAAAGCGCTCCCTTGCCATTCAGTGGGGCCTTGCAGCCTAGACACTTCAGCTTCTTCACAGCAAAATTCATCATGCCGCCGCTGTTCTGCTTTAGAATGGGTTTAGAACGCTTGAGGGTGTGCGTACCATTAAGAAGATCTGACTTGACCTTACTCAGGCCAATGATGGGCTCAAAAATACGCTCCAGCGGGTTTTGCAACTGCTGTTTCATGTAGTAGTCGCAGTCAATCGGTATGTTGTTTTCCAGGGCATACACAGGATCCTCCGCCTTCTCGTACAATGGCGTGGCTTTGCCCTTGTCAATAATCACGTAAGCGATACGTTCACCCAGAGCTGGAGCAGATCCGGCATCCCGTTTCCGCATTCGTTCAGCCAGCTCAGTGTGGGCCTGCTTTACCTTATAGTCATCTTGATCAACAGTCTTTTTCAGCCCTTTCGTGATCACCAGCAGTGAGATATCGATGCGATTCTGCAGCAGATCCGAAATAACGTTTTTCGTGTAGGCAATAGCGCCCGGCACATCTCGATTAATAAGGATCTTGCGCAGTACTGATTCGACCATACGCCGTACCAGCAAGCAATTGTCACGACGAACGGTCTCAAGGCCTTTGGAGTCCAGCTTATCGTACTTTTCTGGCCTTGTCCAGAGCAAACCAGCGTACCGCTTTTTGTTCATCAGCAAGTACGGAAAGTATACCTTCTCAAATTCCAGCTTAATCGGAGCTGGAAAAATTTCTGACACACGCTTGGCAGCCTCTTCAGCAAGTGGCATGGCATCGGCCACGGTGTCAACACCAAACTTGATCATCACAGAATCCGTGTCTCCGTATATTACTTGTGCATCCGCCTTGTACCCATTTGCAACCGTGTACACGCGTTCAACTTCCTCACGCGTACGGAACAGCAACTGGCGACCATATGCTGTTGTACTTGACGCGATTGGAATGCATGGCATTTGCCCAACAATTGCACCCGTAAATCCGTACACAGAATTTGCACTCACTTTGAGAGCAAGTTGTCGACCGTTTTGCACTGCTTTTTCCATTGGATCAGTGGCAGCATCCATATCTCGCTTTGCCTGCTTTCTTGCTGCCAGCACTTCCTCCAGTATCAGTGGCAGAATGCCTTTCTTCTTTTTGCTTGTCACAAAAATATCTCCCGATGGAGACTTCTGGTAATCACCAGGAGCCAGTTTGTCCGCATCTCCAGGCGCCACTAGCGTCGAGTAACAAAGGTTGAAGGCCTGCATGATCGACGGGTACAGGGATGCAAAATCAAGAGTTGCGATGGGTACTGTGTAAAATGCTTTCATGGGCTCAATCACAGTGGCGCCCTCATAGCCTGTGTCTTCACTGTTCTGCGAGCGAGGGAGCGTCGGCACAACGAGTGATGCGTCCTTGCACTTGCGCAAAAGCATGGAGAAAACTTTGATTTGCTGACCGCGCTCGATCAGGAAGTCGATCGGGACGCCGGAAACACGGGCCATTTCGATGTGATTAACGAGGTAAGAGAGTTTGTCCAGCAATCGTAGCGGCAAGTACGCATCTTTCAGACAGTACACAGCGAGACGGTGGCGGTCGTCGTCAGTACCTAGCTGCAAGTCACTGATGATACCGTGAGGCACGTCTTCTTTTTGTTGACCCAAGAAAGCAGCACTCACTGCATTTAGCGAGTATGAGCTCAGCTGTTGGTTACGACGCATAATCGGCAGCAAATCAAACATGCATCGTCCATGGATCGTCGTTTTAACGTTTTCGCTCTTGCCATATTGCGCCGAGCTAAACGTTTTCTTTTCCATGTGGACCGCACTGCCGTAAGCCACACCAAACTCAGTCAGTTATATAGCGTAGCAGAAATATCAACGAATAAGAGAGCGTGATGCGTACGTGTTTGCTAGTCGACCCAAGCGATTGTAGTTCTGCAACTTAAGAGCCTTGCCACGGTTGAGGACGTACGGGATGTCAAAGTTGGCAATATTGTAACCAGTGATAATATCCGGGTCTACGTCCTGCACAAAATTTGCCCACTTCTCCAACATGTCTCCTTCTTTTTCGAACTCCATCACGTGCGCACCAACTATTGGTTTGCAGGTGTCTAGCACAAAGACATTGCGGATAATAGGTGTGGTAGATCCCTGCTCCTGTACGACGTTGGCAATTTGAATCACTGGGTCTTGTTCGGCCTCCGGGAAGTGTCCTTTCCGACCCATGCACTCGATATCAAAACTCAAGATCCGGAAAGGAGCCACCTTACTCCATCTTCCTTCTAGCGCATGACTCACTAAATTGTCGTACGTGATATCGATCTCCAGCTGACACAGCGACATTTTCTGGGAGGACGAGCGTACCGAGTACGTGCCATGGGGCGCTTCCACCCAGTTGCATCCTCTGACATCCTCGTCGATCATAAAGCGCAGAATAAATGGCACGTTGCTCTCATACGTCTGGTAATTGCGAAAATCACAGCCCGGGAGCGTGAGACCAGCTTCCAGGACGCTACGGAGCTTGGGCACGTAGCTGGGCATGCTCAAAAAGATCTTGAAAAGCGTCGTGGTCCTGTCAAACTGGTAGCCGTAGATGGACATCTTGTCCCGCACGACTTGAACACCCACGACACGCGCACTGTTGCTGCTGCTGCTGCTACTGTCTCGCTCTCGCTGGCTCACGGCAGCATCAAGTACCTGTCGCACGTCTCCACATCGACTCTCATCGAAATTGTCTGGACAAAAGCAGTAGAAATAGGGCAACACGCCATGGACGTGCATGAGCACGCTGTTGCCTTCCATCGTGACGCCAAAGAGACGGATGACAGCTGCGCTCTGCCTCGCGACTCCACTGAACTGGACTCCCGGCACTGCCGCTCCCTCCTTCGGGTTCTTCTGGAGCGGAAGCCCGTCGTACATGTCAATGTCGATCCATTGGAAAGCCACTGCGTCCACGTGCGGGTCAAGGGGGCCCAAGGGCTTGCGCGCCCACGCACTGGCTGTCGTGGGCACCGGCGTCATGCTCTCCAGGTCTTCCACAAATGTCGAGCGCTCTGTCTTCACGCCATGTCCATTCAATCGGGGCTTCTTCGCCTCCGCCCAGCTCGACGGCGGCTCGCGCTTCCGTGCGGCCATTGACAGGTGCGGGTGGCTTGGCACGTCAAGCGGATACTTTTGTGGCTGACATGGTTTCCACCAATCCGCATGTCGAAACACGTCTGCGCTCTTCTGATTGGATGAAAGTATACACACAGACACTGCCGCTGTCTTGCACAAGCTGCGGCCCCCACGCGGCGTCTCGGACGAGGGACGTGCACATGCTGCCGGGTCTCCGTGGGTCTGATGACATGCAGCATGTCTCTTCCTGCCTGCGTCTTCTCTCTCGTGTCTTCTTTTGCTTACAGACGCGGAGTTTTGCGCGCCTGAAGGGGGCAGCGATGTGGATACCTTTTCGATGTTGGTGAGCGACTCAGACATCGGGGTGGAGGTCCGTCTGATTCTCAGCTACCACCAAGCTCACTCGTTGAACCGAACCGACGGAGCAGTGGTGAAGTGGTGCTCGGCAGCTTCTGCTCTGCTCATAGTCACAAGGTGGACGGAGGGCCTTCTGCTTTGGCGTTTCCAGCTTGGTGTGGAGTCACGTTGTCGTGATGACGAAGCACTCGTGAAGGACACGACCAAGCTCGACCACGTGCTGATGGGAATTTAAGTGTGCCTTGCTGATTTGGTTTTGCTACGGGTTAGCAGCAGCCGCAGCGAGGGAAGCAGTAACAGCAGCTAAAGGCACTTACTGCTGGTGGTGTCTATGCATGTGGCCACTGCTTTCGTGTCGTGGCAAATTGTTGTTTGCAATTGCTACGATGAGATGTGATGTATCGCTCTCGACGATATACAAGACGTGGATGGACGAGTAGGCTGCAAAGTTTCAAGTGCCGATGACGCTTGTGGCGCGAAACGCTCTTGCACAAGAGTCCGCATTCGCTGGAGATCAGCATTACCTTCTTGACTTAGGTCGACTGTGGAGGACTCACCTGTTGTCCGGAGCTAAATCAGTGCCTGTGCTCGATCGTGTAGTGGCAATCGACACTTGAGGCGCCTAGTGTGGTGGTGGAGTCTTCCCGTGTGATAAGTCGTGCAACGAGCGCCAGGGAGTCGTTGCGAGCTCTGTGATCGGCGCGCTATGCTAGCGGGTACTGGATATTTGCCATTCAGCTTCGATAGACCTTTCGTAGTGCGTTCTTTGGACGGGAATGTTTTTTCGATGCCTCTTTGGGCGCTGCGTTCAGTCATCGCAACTTCAATTACCTTACACGCTTCTATAGCTAGTGTTGGTGCCGTTGCGCTTTTTAACACACTAGGTCATTGTAATTTACAATCTCTCAGTTTCCAATGGATCGGGTACGTTTTACACAAGACAGTATCAAGCTTGCTCATTCTGATGGACTAAAGTCAGTTTGTCTTGTGTTCATTTGATAGATCGGTGCTTTCCACAGTGTTTTCGCTGTCTTCAGGATAGGTACAAATGTCGCTTGGGCAACAAGTCACATCCGTATGTCGCTGTGGCCGACATGAAAAGGTAGACTGACTTGCCTTAGGTGTCAATTGCGCGACGTCTGCCTCAAATAAGATATTCATCTGTTTAGACGCTCATGTGGAACGTATGGGTGCTTGACGCAAAACGGAATCAGCTGCAATTGGGAAGATGTGTACACTCGTAAACAAGGTCGGGGACTGGGCAAGACTTATACACGTGAGATATCCGCCTCGCAACGATTGCGGTGTGCACGTTCTTGTGGAAGCTTGCGATTTCGACGCGCCATTGAACTCTATCGAGCGGGGATCAGAGGGGTCGTGTGTGCACTGATAGTACTGTTGCATCACTGGCGGGTACTTGACTCATCCAATCGAAATCGTGTCAGCATGTTCCTCAATCGTTCTTACGCTATTTCGTGTGTGGTTTGTGCCATCGTTCTTGATATGGTCTAGCTATGCTATCAAAACAATGGGACTGGTGCGATACTCTTCGGTCTGTTTCAACCTGTCTTGTTTCGACGAAGGACGAGGTAGCGACATCAGCTGCAGATTGTAGAAAGTTGGACGATGCTCGCGGCTAGCGGATCACTATTGACAATTCGACGTGCACCAAGGGGAAACGGAGTGAGCTTGACCTCATTGTGCTCAGAGGCACGGCCTATCTATCTTACGTTTGACTGATTATACTTGTGCATTCAATGTGCCAGGTCTGGAAAAGACATCAAACAGCGGACGGCTGCTTAGAAGCTTGTACCTGATTGTTTCGTAGGTATGGCCTATGTTGGAGCAACTACTCGACATGGCTATTGTGGCGAGATGAAGACGAATATTGTGGGAGGCAACGCACTAGTAAATAGAGCATGTGAGAGACGTAGTTAAACGGGATGTATAGTTCTGCGTCGTTAAACGGACGAGTGGAATACCGTTGCGCATTCAAACACAGGGTCACTCAACACGTCGTTGCGCTTCCAAGGACAGAGTCGTTTCCAGTTCGGCTTGAAGGTTTGTCTTGCACTCTGTGGCACTACGTGTCCGAAGAAAAAAAAACTAGATGTGTGAGGCGTCCATGCATGTGAAGACCAACGACATAAAACAAGATACACACAAGCTCACACGTCGTTGTGGAAAATCACATTGATCGCAATGTTACTCCGAACGACACAGTTAGCAACGAATGTATGAGGCACGCGCGAACTATTCCCACTTGTGTCCACTTCGATGGTTGCCTATCCCATCAAATTTATGTTTGACAAGCCATTGATCGATCTCTTAATTCTCTGCAGCTGGATGCGCCTCGCTCGCTTTTGCTTCGATGAGGAATCCAGCTCAAGATCAGAAGCTTCCTCTTGCCCTCGCTTTCTGCCTCTGCTCTCCGTCCCTTTCACGTAACTCAGGCCGCCCTTCTTCTCCCTGTCGCCCTCGATGTGCAGCTGCCCGTTATGCTGCACGTCGAGCCACTTGTCGGACCGCCCTAACTGTCCAAATATTCTCCCAACGAAATCCTCGGTAACTTTCCAGTTCCGAAAGTGAGGAACCAAGGTCGTTGCCATCACCGTTTGTGCCGCAAGATCATTGTTTAAGCAAATGTGACGCACGTATGCAATCCAAATTGCAAACTTTTGGCTGTTCACAAGACTGGCAGCTCCGTCCACATAAGATGCAAACTTCGCCTGTTCGATCACTTCGGCGAGCCCAAGTAGTTTGAACACTTCATCGGGTCTCTGGCCGCGATTGTCCCACACGGTTATCAGAAACCGCTGCAAGCTGTCAGCGATGTTTCGTAGATCCTCCGGGTTCTCACGACCTCTCAACGCGACGACCACAGATACCAGAATGGCTTCATTTTCTTCAAAAGTCAACTTGGAGTCAGCTGTCATCGTATCCGAACGAGCCGCCTCAATGTACTTGCCTGCAACACCCTCGCTATCTAAAAGAAAGCTCGGCTTTTCGTTATGCAGAGCTGACCAAGCAACGTTGGTCATTTGTTCCACCTCTTTGGCCCCTAGGTCTTTAAACATCGACGTCAAATGCATCGACAGGGCCCCTTCCAGAGAGAGCGTTTCTCTCTTCGTTGCCGTTGTCAGCATTTCGTAGGTCCTTCTGAGCGTGACCGTTGCGAGTGTCGATACGGAGCGAGCCGGGAAGGACGGTCGAATTGACCTCGTTGATGTGTTTCGACACGGCTACGGCTGCGAGCAGCAGACCCGCGTAGCGAACGCGCATGATTGGGATGTGGCAAATTGCTTAGTGACCAGTCAAGGGGAGAGCGGTAAGGCCCGTCGTGTGCACCAACAGCTGCGAACGCCGACGATTGTGGGGACCGTCACAGATCAGAAATAATGCGCGTCGACTTGTGCTTTGCATCGAGCCGGAACGCTCGACCCATACTAGAACCAAGTGAACTCTGACGATAGGAGACACGCGATTTGTATAGCCGGGGACCACTGTGTTCCAAGTCACAATGATACAGCCATCCACATTGGTGCTCATAACTCCAAAACTAATGCGAACTAGACGCTGTCGTCATTTGAAGATGATATGCGCAACAATTTAAGATACTCCTTTGCAGTGTTAAAAAATTCGATAATATGAATCGATCTCATAGCTCACATGCAAAAAAGCGCTTTTCGTGCTTGGCAAAAAGTGTACGGTCAAAAATAGCATACAAATTTTTAGAGAAGATATTAATTATTTTCTGTATTCCTATATTGTGATGAGAGTTTAGAAAAGTAAATCAGACTAGTAATGTGTATTGTTTTCCTGCATTCTGAGGACTTCAATGCAACGGTGCGGCATGGAGTCGATTAAAGGTCACTTGTGTTTCTCGCTGTATGTCCTTTCACGTTTTAACGACTGCCGAGGTCAGAGCTGGTACAGAATCGTACTGTTTCCCGTTCTGGTATACCTCGCTGGACAGTATAGCCCACATATTTTCGATCGGATTTCAATCCGGAGAACGAGCAGGTCAGTCCATCACATTCGCGCCTTACTCAGCGAAAAAGTCCGTCGACATCGGGGTATGGATGGCCGCGATGTCCTGCTAAGATAGAATGTCTGTACCGTATTTGCGATAAGAGAAGGCAGCAAATACTAGGATATCGTGTAGATAAAATACTTTGGATGTTGGTTTCCACCAATATGGCCAGCTCAGTCTTCCCGACTCCGCTAAACCCACATCTAGCCATAATAGACCCTCCGCCCATCTAACGAAGATTCGTCTGCATATTAGAGACACGTATGTCTCTTCAATCGTGCTGTAGGCCGTCTGGCCCATCGAGCTTCCATTTCTGTTCGTCATAAAAATGATCGACATCCATGCACTAAAAGATATCGGCATTTTCTCCGACCATGCGAGACGTTGCACTCGACGTGTATTCGAAAGATAGAGCGTATCGTGTGCGACAGCCAATCTTTACATTGGAGGATGCGGCGCACAGTGCGAACCAAGCACTTCATCTCGAGCTGATGATGCAGCTGTATTGACAAAAATCCGCTTGCTGCTGTGCGAGCCAGAACACGACAAGCAAAATCGGACAGATTTTTGGTCTGTCAGTGCTGATGCAGCCGAAGTGACCGCTCACAACACGCATTACTGCGTCAATTGACCGATTGAAAGCATGCGCGATGGCGCGTCCTGTTAGGCCGGCTTCATGCAAGTCCTGAATCCTCCCATAAATTAGGTCGATTAGCGCTTCCCCTTCCTCATTGCTTCAGAAATGCAAAAAACCGTTCATTATTTAGCTGAAATTTGTAACGCTTTTTGGCCGTTTACTTTTTGCCGGCCCGAGAGCGCTTTTTTGCATGTGAGCTAAGAGATCGATTTACATAATCGTTTTTTCAATACCGCAAGGGAATATATTAAAGCTGTGCGCATATCATACTCAAACGACAGCGTCTATGTAGCGAAGCCACACATCTTTTAAGTCAGAGGAAGACTCAGTGCTCAAAGAGTGATATTAGTTCTAAAGAACTAGGTTTTAAGAGTCAACAAGCGTAAACCTTAAGGTCCCTGTTTCAGAGGACCAAACGTTTCAGTGAATCTACAGCACTTAATGCTCAAGATAGCTACCTTATGAAGGTGTTGCCAACTCTTACCGATCTATGATCAGAGTCGCCTTGCAAGGAACGTGTCTTAGACAAGATCAAAGGGGAACTGAACATTATTTACATTAAGCTCTATAAATTGTTTTAATCCTATTACCTTATCTAGGCACTCGTGTCCTAAGAAAATATCTTCAAGATCTTTCAAATCTTGTGCCTGACACCCGTCAGCCTCTACAAACAAACAAGATATTCTGAATTTCTTTCAGCAAGATACCAAACTGTGTGTCTAAGAGGGTACAGAGACCCTACGAAGTTTAACTCTTTACGTTCTCCCTCACCAGACTGACAATTACCCAAACGTCAGTCGAACTTTGTTCCTCAACGAGGTCAGTGCGCTTACGGTTACATTCACGGCATGTAAAGCTCAAGCACCATGTCCTAATCGCCTAACGGGTCACATACTCTTTGTGCATACCTCGAGATAGAGGAGACAGTGGGCTATGGCATCAATAGCAGTGTCCCGGGTGATGCAAGAACAGTGTCCGATAGACCTATGTCGGAGGCTCAACTTCTTACTACGTTAATTCCATTCGTGAAACATGGTGTGCGAATGTGCCATTGGCGCCGCGTTCAACACCCGGTTGGGATGGTGAAATTATTTCTTATCCGCTTGATGAGCAGCAAAAGTTGGATGTTCAACGAGAATAAAGCGACCGGCGCTATACACAAATGTTCACGACCCTTGCTAACCAGCGTGACTTTGTGTATAACTCACTCAGTCAAACGCCCGACCAAAGTTTGGCAACGTGGATCATTGGTCCTGTAGCTGTTTCTCCCGAGGAAGGGATATTGGTCAGGCACTTCGTGAGAGATACCTGGAGCCATTTCTGACAGCGCGAAGTCAGTGCATGGCAAGCCTTCAGATGCAAGCACGTGTTGCACCGCTTCCACCGATCAAGTGTGTACACATTTCCTTTGTTCGCAGGCAAAACAAAATGCGAAGGAGAAAACGAATTTATCCGCAGGGCGCACCGCACTCGTTGCCTCAGCAGTATGTACGCTCTGAGAGCTAGCGTCAGTGTGGAAGATGTGCGCCTCAACCACAAGCTTCAGTATGATTTGTTATGCCATTTTTAAAGCCGGAAGGCAATTGCGCAATCGCATGCGCTATGCTTCAGCCACTACGGTAGCCGCGAGTGCTCTTCACACTGTGTCCACCAAGCCGCCAACCCACACCACTAGTGGTGGGAATGAGTCTAGTCCTCGAGATGACACTGGTCAAGATGTTCATTACATCTACGGCGTAGGATCAATCTTGCCGAAGGGGAATCTTATACTCCCATGAGTTGTCCGACTCCAAATGCCCACGCCACTTCACCAGATACTATTGTCGGACATGACGACGACGTCGTTTCAGGGATCTCTCCACATGGAACTGGCGGAGTCCTTGCTCATCGAGCCGCGTTGGTGGAGGCCGGTGTATTGAAGAAGGAGCATGAGAAGGTACTTCTTGTGCTGAGTGGTCTCCCTGAGACATGGTTTTAGGCCCAGAGTGCACTTAACGCGACGCAAGCTCGCGTTCATGCGTTGGAGTCGGGTCACACTCAAATGAAGGCCCAGCTTGACCTCCTGATTTGGATTCAGAATCCACCGTAGAACACAGGATTAGTGCGCTATTTACGTGTAGGATTGAGCTCATGAGCAAAATCCTTGTTAGAAACGACCGTGAATGGTCCAATGAAGTGCGGACGCAACTTTGTATTGAAGACAGCGGACACTATATGTGTAGGCAGTTTAATAGCATTGAGTAATACTTGCTCTCCGATCTGATAGCATTCAGCAAAACCTTTTTTAGTATATGCTTATCGCTTTTGTTGGTCTTGGCTCTAAGCCATTGCGTCATGCACATGTCGTAAGACATTCAATTGTGCTACAAGAAACTCGTTCACCTGATTTTGAACTGTAGTAGGGCTGATATCAGCAAGCCGATTGACAAAGTATCCCCTATTAAGCCTTGAACCACATAGTGGTAGCGTTAATGAAACGCGAGGGTGGGTGATTCCGTTCATGTAGAGCGGAATATATCCTGTAGAGGCATGAACAGAGTTGTTCAAGGCAAACTCGACAACAGGAAAAATGGATCCCAAACACTTAGGCGTATCAGCGCAAACACTGCGCAAAATGTCAGTAATGACGCGATTAACACGCTCACGTTGACCATCGGTCTGCGGATAATTCGCTGTGGACATGTCCAACTGGGTGCCGAGCACCTTAAATATGGACTTCCAAACACTCTTGTGAAGCGGGGATCACTACCAGAGCTAATTGCCATACGCAAACTACAGTGTCAAACGCACGAATGAAAGAGCTTCGCTGTACCTTCGGCACCAATAGAGTCCGGCAATGCTGCTAGATGAGCCATCCTGCTTGATCGGTTAACAAAGACCACAATGTCAGTGTTGCCCCATCTGAATCTTTTGGTAGGCCAAACAAAAAATACATACTCATGTGCTCCCAACACTCAATGGGTACAGGTAGACTATCCAGCGGCGCTGCCGCATGTGCTGAGTTTAACCCGTTGACACGTTTCAGACGTAAGAATATAGTTGCTCACCCACTTGTAAAGTTAAGGCCACCAATAAGCCTGGCTCACTGAGCTATAGGTCTTCTCACGACCTCGATGACCACTTGAAGTGGTATCAGGTGCCTCATAGACGATTCGAAATTTGACATCTCATCATGAGGAACAACGGTACGAGGTCTATACTCAATATCTTTTCGATAGCACAACAGGCCCTTATCGATAGAATATTGATGTAGCCTCGCACGTAAACGTGTCGACAATTCTATGTCTGAGTCGTTATACTCATCTTTCTCAAGGCCCGTAGCGAATCTCCACATTATTTACCTGTAGCATAAGCCGCACGGATTAAGTAATTGACTGGCGATGACTACATAGTGACGTGGGCAAGACCGTAGTCAGGGTGGCGCGATTGCGCATCAGCCAACGTGTTTTACTTTCCTATTTTTGTACTTCACTCCGAAGTTATATTCGGCATAGAAGATAAACCAACAATCCATTCTATGAGAGAGACACGGAGATTGTGTCATAGTGCGCAATGTTGCATGATCTGCATGGATCACAAATGGTTTTGAGCCCAGCAGATGTACCTCATATGTGACGAGAGTGTATCTTATAGCAGGTAGCTTTTTGTCATGTACTCGATAGATCTTTTAAGCAGCGTTGAGCTGTCGAGATTCAAATGCAATGACGCTTTTGCGTCCATCGAAATTTGTTCGTAACAGAGCACTGCCAATGACAAGGTCACACTCGTCACAGACGACACTGAAAGGTCGATCAGGATTGGACACAACCAGTATTGGAGCATGAAGGAGACTTTCCTAAACTGCTTGAGAAGCATCATTTTAGGTATTATTACAACACCGATCCACATCCTCATTATATAGATTGGATAATGGTCGAGCCACATATGCGTAATTCGCACTATACTTAAGCAAGTGATTGGCACGTCCAAGCCACTTTCCTAGATCTTTTTGATTCTTTGGAGCCGGCCAATCGACAATGGCCCTTACCTCAGCGAGGTTCGCTCGATGGTCTCTCTTCTCAATGAACCAACCCAGATTGGAGATCTCTTCTGCACCGAAAATGCACTAAAGAGCATTTGCATACAATTTATTTCGTGAACATGCACTCGAGCACCGCTCGTTAATGATCAGTGTGATTATCCACATCAGATCGACCGTTCGTTGCACGATCATGGACAAAGATGTCATCAAAGTACGTCTGTGCATAGCCTCGATGAGGTCAAGATATTTGCTTCACCAGACGATTAAAAGTAGTCGGGATCTTGACAGCCCTTTTGTTATAACGAGCCACTCCCAAAGCACACCGCTTGGGGTGTAACCGCTGTAAGCGGGATATCACTTGCTCGCATGAGCAGCTGGTAATAAATATCTACTATGTCGAGCGCACTGTACAATGTACATCCCACCGTATTGTTCTAAAGAGCATCTTCTCTGGGAATTGGTTTCTGAGCCGGGATAGTGACAGAATACGCTTATTATAAGCATGGACAATGCGCACTTACCATTTGGTATCCTGACACAAATTGTAGGTGTGGAATGGTAAGATTTACTCTCACGCACTATTTCAGAGCGCGCTTGCACGAAAGAAATCATTTATGGAGTCACACTGTCCCTTACGTACAGACAACTTCCGTATTACGCAGTATTTGGCTCCTGGAGCTAGGTCAATTTCACAACGTACACATATACGGGGAGATAAGATAGATGGTAGGTAGTGGCACACCACATCTCGAAATTTCTTTACCAAAGGATAGAATGGATCCAAAGGATCTTTGAGATCGAAGATTACTGTAGGCAATGAGTGCCGCATTGGTGTCCTCTAGGACCGACTCATCCATTAATGAGGACGAATTTAACTCTACATTGGGTCTAATGACCACTCATTCAGATAAGTATCCTGCCATTAAGGCCTGGCTAAACTAGTCATCGAATAGTTTGTCTAGCTTACAAAGAGCATCCAAAGATGGAAGGGTTTTCAGGGTTACATTTCCCTCCACTTTGCCAGTCGCTCCGTTAGAAAGTGTATTTATTGTGTCATTGTCATCATGTGACTGCTCGGACACCTGGCGCTTGACAGTTGCCATCTGGCGTCCAGGTTGTCTTCGACGAGACTTCAGACCCTTCTAGGGTCGGAACAATAGTGATGCCGTGGTTACTAATATTATTAGTACGCTTTATACATTAGCTGATGTCTTAATCGACGTCCGGTGAAGTGTTGGGTAAAGCAAACGCTTCACCCAGTAAATACAAATGTGCCACTCCACTTACATTTTACGGGCCTTCCCCTGAACTTAATGTCGCTTCACCAATAGTGTCATTACCGACATTAATTGTGGTGCCTTCACGGCGATCGCACTTGTTTCACGTCACGTGCCATCACACATACATCAACGAAATTACACCCTTGAAAAATTGGCCCTAGACCAACCATACTTGACTCTTCATCACGACAAGAAACATTCGACGGAGCAAGCGCCTTATCACAAATACTAAACAAGCTACGCTTACGTTTTATTAAATTGGAGTTAATTAATTTAAATTGTTCAATATACAGCACATTGACATTTTCGGTCAAAGGCTCGCGCCAATAGTGCTTTCGTTGCCTAGCAAAGGTGGGTTCATGACTCTCCAAACCTTCGCTAGGAGAATTGCGCATAGCGCCTAAGGTCTTAAACCTTCAATCAATCTATGGCCCATGGCGTTCAAGTCAAGCCGTCCCTAGGATGAGATCATATCCAGAGTCTAAATCAAGATGAAACAGCGTTTAATGCTATTAATATCCAGAAACTTTGCACCTCAGTTCAGCCAGACTTGTATATACGCTCCATACAAAAGGCACAGAACTTGTTAGGCTAATCCCTGTTCGACTTTACCTTCGTCTTCAGCATAGCTGAGATCCATCAATTCCGGCCTTTTAATGGATGGAGCACTCGCGTATTTTTCTCTCGCAGAACTAGTGTTGTACCCATTCCAGTCAAGTTTGGAAGACATGAAGTTATGCTCAGCATAAAGAGCAATTCTCACAGCCTCTTCGAATGTAGAGAGGTGAACCCAAGAGACTTCGGTTCTATCAATGCCAGTACGGAGACCCTCTGTAAATATAGTCACATGAAGTGCCTCAGGCATAAATTTAGACTTCATAGCATCCGTAAGAGTTCTTACATCTTGGACATAGTGCGTGAAATCATTATTACCCTGAAGGGTCGATAAAATGCGTGAGCGCACGCTATAAGCCTGGTTAAGTAGTGAAAACACCTGTACCAATTACGACTTCGGCGACTCCCACGTGTGAAAAGCTAAGTCGGCTGACTTGCCACACGTCAATCCCCATTCTCCGGGTCTTCCATAGAGATTTGAGATAGCCAGTGATACCTGTTGATGGTCAAGCTTAATCAGGCCTGATCTCATGACCATCTCAATCTCAGGGAACCAGATGATGCAATTTTCACTTTTCACCTTCTATCCTGAGTAGATTTTAACTTTCACTCCAATTCATTGAAGCCTAGCCTCTTCGTCTTGAACAGACTTATAGCGTGTAGGCATAGCCGACGACAGTTGGTCTTGGACTCTACCTAGAAAGGACGCCTTTTTGATGAAGAGGCCCTCAACACGTGCAATCAGCACCTCAAGGCTTTGTGATACAAGAAATTTTACAAAATCTGGAACAAAAGATGCGGTCAGCTTATGTAGCGCAACAATTTGGGCCTCAGAAAAGGGAGTGAAGTTTTCGTTTACACAGAGAATCCGTCTATAAAGAATCAGGCGTAGATTTATCTGCAACTGCTACCTAGTGTTGCGGAGCTACTCAGCTACTTAAATCAGAGGAAGACTCGGTGCTTAACAATCAATATCAGATCTATAGAACTGGACTATAAGAGTCAACAAGCGTAAACCTTAAGGTCCCTGTTTCAGAGGACCAAACGATTCAGTGAATCTACAGCACTTAATGCTCGAGAATAGCTACCTTATGAAGGTGTTGCCAACTCTTACCGATCTATGATCAGAGTCGCCTTGCAAGGAACGTGTCTTAGACAAGATCAAAGGGGAACTGAACATTATTTACATTAAGCTCTATAAATTGTTTTAATCCTATTACCTTATCTAGGCACTCGTGTCCTAAATCAATATCTTCAAGATCTTCCATATCTTGTGGCTGACACCCGTCAGCCTCTACGAACCAACAAGATATTTTTAATCTCTTTCGGTGGGATACTATGTCTTTTTTGTAATGGGGTGAGATTCCCCGTTACCGTCATACACTATGGAGGTTTGAGGAAGCGCTGTTATTCTACTAGATATAATCAGCTCTGTTTTATGTTTGTCTTTTGACTGTGCTAAGTAAGAAAGTGTTATCTTGCTCGTAAGAACCACTCAATTTCAGTTTGATTTATTATTGGATAATTTTGGTTCCGGCACCTCATTAATCAACCAAAAATAATACAAAGTGCAGTACCCGCTGATTGGATACTGCCTATACCTACTTATGTAACTATTTATTATCGTTGTGACTACTAATGTCATCGGGTGTCTCATTACGTCAACCCTTCTTTAAGTGCGCTTACCCTACACAAGCGCAAAAATCACATTAAGTTTCGTCCAATAGATAATCTGATGGCATAGCTTCGGACCGGATCAGTCGTACACGACTGAGCAGCATGGACCCTGACCGCGCACGCTACGACGATCCTATCAGCGGCAAATGGACTCACTAGTTGACGTTACGAAGGAAACAGGCTCCGCGAATTATGGACGAAGAGATGAAACCATGGGCGTCATACAGCCTTGAAGGAGGCGACCACCCAGAATCACCAGAATCCATGACTGCACTCTTCACTCGATACCGTAGCAAGAAGCTAGGCGACCAGCAACACATACACCGATGAAGCAATGCAACGATGGTAAAGCACGTCCATTAAGCGCCGATACGCGAGTAAACGTAAATGCTTGTCCTTCGCGTCTTGATTGGAGCGGCGCGAAGTCATGCACGGAGATCACGTTATTGGCAGCATGCATCGGCGCGTGCTTCGTGCGATGCGCGACGAGATGAACATGTGTTACGGTCATGTCCGCACAGGGTGTCTCTTGTCCAACGTGAGCAGCCCACGTCCAACCCAGTAGGAATGGTATGGCCGAGTGTGCACGCGGGGTCTGTCTTAATTTGCTAAATCATAGGTCTCTCGATACAAGATAACTCTCTTGGTACCTCACGTGTATGAGCCGCGCCAGATGCAAAAACGTACTCAGTTTTGTCTCGGACGCTCACGCAGTCGGGACAAGCCATAACGTGATCCATAGTTTTGCGAGTCTCGTAATAAATGTTGGAGTATTTCGGGAGATCGTAATAGTCGAGCTGCAGCTGTTCGCGAGGGTCCTGGCTCGCGAGATTGGGGGTGGGGGCGGCGAGATCAGTCGCGTTCGGCCAGGCCTTTGGTTGGAATCGTAATCCACAACCTCATCAGCATCATCATAGACCAGTTGTTGGAATGTTGGAAATGGGTGCAAGGGTACGTAACGGTGATCGGAGTGTTCGGCCGGTGACTTGGGGTTTATTTGGAAACCTGATGTCACAAACTCGCTGTGCGTAAAAGGTGGATGCAGAGTGACAAGCAGGATAGTGATCCGAGTAGAGCCAGAATGCGTGTGAGATAGATGACTGGAGCAGAGGACTTTGGCGAGCATGGCAGAGAAGAGAGACCTAGTAAGGAAATACAACAGAATCTTATTGTTCACCTAACGCTTCCTTCTCGCAACACGCATCTTGCCTCCAGGTTATGAGCCCAATGGCCACAATCACCGAACCAACTACGAAGACACCAGGGCGTATCCCGCGAGCCACGCCTGGGCGCGGCTCGCCAGCACGTGCGCCTACCGCACCCGCAGTCGTCAACGATGGACCCGCTCGCGAGAGCGGAAAGCGAGACGATAAGATCCTCGCCGCGCTCGCCGCACTCACCGATCGACTGGCGAGCCTCGAGTCGTCGCAGAGAGTGCGAGACGAGGAGGAGCGCATGCTCGGGGCCGTGTAGAGCGGACTGTTCGCCTCGAAACTCGGCGCCAACATGCGCGGCCGACCGATGACGATTGACGCAATCGGAGACGCGGAGGAGAAGCCACCGGTACCACGTGGGTATTAGCGCGCGACTGATCTTGGCGCGTCGCGAATGGCATCGCTCGAGCCACCTCGCGCGCGCGCAGCACTGCAGCTGCAGCAGCGCGCACCAGCGTCTGCGCCACCTCCGCAGGAGTATGCAGCGCTACCGCCGCCGCAACAAGTCGCTTTGCCACAAGACTATGTGCGACCGGGCCTTAACGGCTACGGGATGCCGTCCTCAAGCCAGCGGAAGCTAAACATACGCAAGTTCGATGGTACGGAGCTGTACCGAGGACTCGGGAGCGGATTCTTTGACTGGGGGCGTACGTTTCTGTGCGCGGTGAGCCTCGCGGAAGCGTCGTGTGGTTTCGGATGGACCGAAGACGTCGAGGTCGACCTGCTTGGGCACTTTCTCGCCGGCACGGCTGAGAGCTACTATCACAAGCAGGTCGATACCTGGTGGACGCAGTCACCCACACTGGAGTACACCATGGAGCAGCTCCTGCGCACGTTCAAGACGTCAATCACTGCAAGCTAGGCGATGAAGTTATTATGGCCAAGAAGTACGCACGACGCACCTGGGCCGAGCACTTCCTGTACATGGTCGCCGTCAGCGAGGCACGCGGTGGTGCCGACTCGCTTGTTCTTGATAACATCGTCCACCACGCTTCTCCGGAGCTGGTGAACGTGATGCGCTTCAAGTATGAACCCACTCGACTCGACTACCTGCGCCATGCTGAGGAGCTAGCGCACTTCGCGCAGTCCATTGAGCACGGCAGCAGCGTGGTGGGTCGTGAGGTCGTCGCCGCGCACGTGGAAGGCAAACCCAAGGGCTCGATCACGTGCTACCGATGTGGGCGACCAGGCCACATCGCAGACGACTGTCGCGCGTGAGTCGTGCACGACGACGAAACACCCGCGGAGGGTGGAGGCGCCAGCATGATCCTTGCACTGACCGAGAAGCGCAGAGCGACCACGAAGAAGCGCAACAGGAGGAAGAAGGGCTCGCGCGGCAAGGACGCCGCAGCGACCAATGCAAGCGATGGGGCGCGAGCCATAGACGACTCATGCGGCTTCGTGCTTACGACGAGCGACGGAGTACGAGCCACGGACGGCACGCGCGGCCTCGTACTTGCGGCGACCGATGCCACGGGCGTTGACAGAGGAGGCTGAATCCTCGATAGCGGCGCGAGCCGGCATCTTGTCAACGACGAGTCGCTGCTGCTCAAGTCGACGGCTTGCAGCCACGAGATTGCAATGGCAGACGGCGAGTCGCTTCACCTGACGCGTGTCGGCAGCGTGCGCCTCGAGGTTATTGCGCGCGGCGCTAAAGCGGTAGTGACGCTCACGGATGTGTACTTGGTGCCGCGACTGGCAAAGAACATAGTGTCGTACGGCAAGCTCGCCAACAAAGGATTTGCCCTAGTTCACTCCGGCGAAAGGCGCTCGCTCGCTCGGTACAGAGATGGTGCGGTCGTGTTCGATGTCACAATCGACAGCAACGTGCTGTATGTCGTGAAGAAGGCCACGCGCGACAAGGAAGGTGCAGGCGGAGACGCGATCATGGCGGCGCTCGAAGCGAATGCAACGGAAATCAATGCCGACGAGCCGCACGAAGCCTCGCTGTTGCACTGGCACCAGCGACTCGGCCACCTTGCGTTCAAAACGATCGAACGCATGGCGCGCGATCCGGTATCGGGCATTCGGCTCAGCAACAACAAACGTATGGCGTGCGTGTCGTGCCTCGAGGGCAAGTAGACGCGCAAAGCGCAGTCCCAACAAGACAGCGGCAAGCACTCGCCCATCGATCTCATCGGCGGCGTCATCTGCTCGGACCTGAAGGGTCCAATGACGCCGCGGGACCGACTCGGCAATCGTTACCTTGTGAACTTCGTTGATCACAAGAGCAACTACTGCCGAGTCTTCCTCGCGCGCACGAAGGACGCTGCGGCGAAGCATTTCTAGGAGTTCCTCGTCCACTTCAAGAAGCTTTTCGGGTTCAAGGTCCACGTGTTCCGCATGGACGGCGGCAGATAATACGCCAACGTGGAACTGTTCTGCGAGCGCACAGGCGTCGCGCGCCAAGTGTCGGGGGCGCGCAATCAGGCCTCAAACGGCAAGGCGGAACGAATGCACCGGACAGTGCTGAACCTTGCGCGCAGCATGATGTTTGCCTGCGCGCTGCCCCTGATGATCTGGGGAGACGCGGTACTATACGCCGTTCACATCCTCAACCGGAGCCCTACGCGAGCAAACGCAAAGAGAGCGTCACCACTCGAGGTGCTGACGGGCAAGACGCCGGATCTGCGTGGAATTGTCGTTTTTGGCTCCCAGTGCAGCGTGTATAGAGACCCGCGCAAGAACTCGCTGCTGCAGCGCTCGGGGCGCGCCATCATTTTCAGCGTCAGCGAGGAAACCAAGGGCTACAAGCTGCTGCTGCCGCGTGACAATAAAGTGGTCGTCATGCACCACATCAAGAACATCAAGACATTGACGGAGGCGCAAAACGCGCAACTCCAGCGCGCGATGGACGTCGGCGATCGAGCCGGAGGCCAGGAGGAGACGGACGCGCCAGCAGCAGCAGTGGCGAACGATGTTCGCGCAGAGGGCAAGAGGGAGACGCGTAAAAGCAGAAAGCGATGGACGCGAGCGGCGCATAGAACACGCGGAGCGTTGAAACGCGCAGAAGCGGCTGCTCGTCAGGAGGAGACAGCCGCGAGCGGAGAAGTCGTAATAGCTGCTTTGAGCACGACCCGCTTAACTACGGACAGTTGATGCGCAGCGGAAAGCGCGAAGGGTGGGAGAAGGCGATGCAAGAGGAGATCGCCTCGCTTGAGGCCAACGACATCTGGACTATCACAAGGCGAACGGCAGGACAGCATGCGCTGCACACCAAATGGGTCTACAAGACCAATACAGATGCGCAGGGCGACCTCGAGCGGCTGAAAGCGCGACTGGTGGTGTATAGGAACGAACAGGTGCTTGGGGTCGACTACACGCTTACCTTGGCTGCCGTGATGGACCTATCGACGATCAAAGTGATCCTGGCGCTTGCGGCTACGTGGGGGGTGCCTGCCAAGCACGGTGACATCCCCAACGCCTACGTTAAAACGGACAAAGAGCCGCACCTGCGCATCTATCTACAGATGCCGCACGGCATGCCAGTCTCGAAGGAGACGCTACAAGCGCAAGGCGTTTCGAACGCGAGCGAGCTGGTGCTGGAGCTGCGGAAGAGCCTCTACGGGCTCAAGTAGGCAGGCCGGATGTGGAGCCAGCTGCTGCACTCGAAGCTCTCTACTGCCGGTTTCACGCGGTGTGAGAGCGACATGTGTTTCTACTGGAAGCGCGAAGGCGACGACCTCGTCGTGGTCGGCGTGTATGTCGACGATCTTCTTGCGACAGGGACGAGCGCGGCGGCGGTCGAGCGCTTCTTTGCAAGCCTCGCGTCGTTGTCGATCAAGGACCTGGGGCGTGTCAGCAAGCTCCTGGGAATGCGCGTGACGCACAACGGTCAGAATGGGTACACGCTCGATCAGGAGGAGGCCATAAGAGACCTCCTACGCGACAACGGACTCGCTGATGCCAACTCAACGTGGACGCCGATCGACGACAGCTGCTACGAGTTGGAGGAGGGCGACGCGGAGCTTCTTGGGACGCCAAGCGCGCAATTAGGACCTACTGTGCACCAGTTTCAGTCGCTGGTCGGCTCGCTGCTCTGGGTGGCGTGTTGCACGCGCCCTGACATAGCGTTTGCGGTGCACAAGGTCACGAGACGAGTCCACGCGCCTCGCCTAGCAGACTGGAAGTTGGATAAACGCATCGCGCGATACCTCAAGGGTACGGCGGCGCTCAAGGTCACGATGATCCCAGAAGACAATTTAGGTGTGGCGATGCGACTAGAATTGTTCAGCGACGCCGACTTTGCCGCCGACAAGACGGACCGGAAGTCAATGACGGGCGGCATCATGATGCTGAACGGGATGGCCGTCAGCTGGGGTGCACGGAAGCAGGGAGGCGTCTCCCTGTCGACGATGGAGGCGTAGTATGTCGCGGCGAGTGAAGTCGCGCGCGAGCTGCTCGGCCTGCGCGAGATGTTGTGCGAAGTGGGCGTGGAGCCCGCGCTTCCGATGCAGTTGCGGGTGGACAATCAAGCGGCGATCGCGCAGATCGCGGGAGAGGCATCGTCGCTGAAGGCAAAACATTTGGATGTGCGCCTTAAATTCCTTTGCGACTACTCGCGTCGTAGCATCATCACGGCGAGCTATGTCAGATCGGAGCAGATGCTCGCAGACCTCCTCACGAAGGCGTTGGACGCGACGAAGCTCTCGACACTGCGCGCACTCGTGCGCATTGGTTAAGAAAAGGTCAAGGACTCAAGGGCGATCAAGGAGCTCAAGGATCGAGGAGCACAAGGACAAGGACATTTGCAAGGTTAAGAAATGCAACTGGTGTGAGGGCAAGTCACGACCGAGGAGGAGTGTTGGAATGTTGGAAATGGGTGCAAAGGTACGTAACGGTGATCGGAGTGTTCGGCCGGTGACTTGGGGTTTATTTGGAAACCTGATGTCACAAACTCGCTGTGCGTAAAAGGTGGATGCAGAGTGACAAGCAGGATAGTGATCCGAGTAGAGCCAGAATGCGTGTGAGATGGATGACTGGAGCAGAGGACTTTGGCGAGCATGGCAGAGAAGAGAGACCTAGTAAGGAAATACAACAGAATCTTATTGTTCACCTAACGCTTCCTTCTCGCAACACGCATCTTGCCTACACCAGTGTACTTTGAGGCTCCCAATTTTCGTCAGCCGGTAAATATCCCATCCAGCGAACCTTGTAAGGACTTTGGTGGACTTCTTCCTGGGCGCCGAATCATCACTCGGCGCACCGCGATTTTGATCCTCGTGATCGACGATTCTATCGACAATCCAGCGTCGCGCGTTCGATGCTTCTACCAAGGGAGGAGGAGCATCACGCTGAAAGACCTCCGTTGACTTTGGTGATACATGTAGTCGCGAGTCTTGACCACTGACCGAGGAGCTGCACTTTCTTTGTGTTGAGGCTGAAGAGGCAAATAACGGGTTGTATGACGCCTGTGAGATGACCGAGGATGCCCGTGATCGTGCGGCAGCTGCAAATGGAGGCGGCCAAATGGACTTGACGGGAACAGCGGGGGTTAGTCTAGCGCCTGCGCCAACTTGAGACGGCCGAATTCACAGGAGCCCCAGCAAAACAATTCTACACGTGCTCGGAAAATTGTCGTTCCCTATCGTCATCGTTATGGCCTGTCTGATTACGAGCCGGCGGAGAAGACTAAGAAAGGTTCGTCGGAAGGACCGCCGGCCTAAAGTCTTAAGGCGCCCGACGTAGAATGTCGGGTGCAGACGCATAGCAGTAGGTATACATAGCAAGCAGGCTTCCCCATGAACCTTAATCACATAAAAAGGACCAATACACCTTGGCGCCAATTTTTTTAGCGCCTAAGTTAGTCATTGTCGTGTTTGGAAGTCCAATTGTTGACAGCAAAACTATGTCGCCTTTACAAAATGTTGACGTATTATTTTGGTCTTGTTGGCCTGCATTCTCCTTCTGCTTGTCGACTGCCTCTTGGAGTGCCTTACGCACGGAACGCGTGATGCATTGTCGTGATGGCAGGATTTCATGACTGCTACTGAATTTATAAGCGAAGTGGACTCTTTAGGAGAATAATTCGCGACTGGAGACGCGATGGGTTGCGTCGCGTCATGACTCGATATGTCGTTGGCCACAAAATAAACGGTCAAAGTTGCATCAGCAGCAACCTTATGTGCGTCAGAGTCAAACATCGAATTTTTGGCGCGACACCATAATTAGATACTCGTCCACCAAGCTTGGAGACTAGGTGCTCTGAAGATGAGTAATTAAGAAGCGTTGGACACGAGGGTGCCTAGCATTGCAATAAAAAAAAAGAAATGGCGTCAACCCCGTTGACGCACGCACGTCATAGTTGATGGCAAATTTAGAAAGTGGAGGAAACGAACTACACGACGTGTAATAAGTTGCACAACCCCGCAAAACATCTTCAAGAACTCTGTTTAATCGCTCCGTTTGCCCATCCGTCTCGGGATGGGCTGCCGTAGACACAAGCCGTCGAGTGCCTGATAGTTAAAACAATTTGGCCCAGAAAGCCGGAGTGAAGCGCGGATCATGTTCCGAAACGATAGACTCTGATAACCCGTGATGCATGAAGATGATATCAATAAAAATCTTCGTGGTCGTCTTCTACGTAATGTTTGCGGAGATCGGGCACCATTTGCTGAATATATTCACGAGAACCGGTACGCCCGTGCATTTGTGTTTTTCAGGCGTAAGATCGCAGATAACTCTATGCTGGCCGAGCGTCAGGTGTTTGTGGGTAATTGGAAGCGAACGCAATGGGGCTTGTGAAGATGGAGCAGGTTTCACAAGCTGGCATACTTCCTAGGACGTACCCATTTCTAATTGTACTTTAACATTCGCGGCCAGAAAAATACACGAGAGATGGCTGCGTATGTCTTCTCATGTCCAAGGTGACCACCAACAGGACTGTCCTGATATTTATGAGCCAAACGGGCGCAAAGGTAGTCATCAGCAGTATTGACGACACGTGGAGACTCTAAGACGTTCATCGTATGTGTCAACAGTGGGCTATCAAGTGAATAGTGCTTGACGTTGTCGCGCGTCGGTTTTGTCAACTTTGCAAGCAGACCCTAGCTAGGGTCGCGAAGATAAGTAATAATGTCCGCGTAGACGGAGCCGTGTGCGTGAGATTTGGCGATCGGAGTTCGAATCGGCACCACAGACGACATAATCGTGGCATTGAGCCCCAGCTCAATGCAGCACACCCACTTTTTATCGACGCTATCATTATTCTTTGCCTGATGACCCATATCTCGTCACGGATAGTAGTCTGGACGACGAGACAGTGCGTCACCAAGACTACCGTTCTTACCGGGCTTGTAATACACAGTGACGTTGTATTCGGCGAAGATAGACAACCAACGGACCATGCGCTGTGAAAGGTGATGACTCTTGACGGCGGTGCACTACGAGGTGTGGTCCGTGTAGAGAGAAAACATCTTCTCACCGATTAAATGTAACATAAATTTGATCAGCGCGTAACGCATCACCAAAAGTGCTGTCACGCACGAAATAGTTTCTCTCAGCTAATTTTATCTGTCGTGACTGAAAAATCACGACGCGCTCGTGGCCCTTGTCACAAATTGCATAAGGGCACACCAATCGCGAAATTGCTCGCGTCACACACGACGTGAAATGGCTTGGAATCATCATGTAAAACAGCACCGGTGCGTCAGATAAGCTAGTCTCGACGGAATTGAAGGTCAATTGGTGCTCTCTTGACCACAGTCATATTGCGTCTTTCTTAAGTACTGTCTATAATGGCTGAATGATATCTGCTAAATTTTTTGCAGGCTTATGCAGACAATGTGCCAGACAGAGCCATTGTCGCAATCCGGTCGGGTTCCTGGTCGTTGGCCTAGGAACAAATCGATGATACCTTCTCGGGATCAGCGCGGACACCTTCCTTGGTGAAATAGCATCTGAGAACAGGTATCTTGGGAGCGCAAAAGACGCGTTCATTCAAATCGGTGTACAAGCAATTAGCACGCATCACTTAAAACACCTGCTTCAAGGGTCGAGAGGTGTACCTTCGTAGTTTCTGAAGCTGCTGCTCAGTGTGGCTGTGGAGGTAAATGTCATTGAAGTAGCTTGGCGTGAAGTCGCGAAGCGGGCGTAATACCTGTGTCACCATCCGGTTGAATTTGTCTGGTGCGTTCTTGAGGCCATGTGCCATTACTAGCCATTCCCAAAGCATCACGCTTGGATTGCTAACTGCAGTAGTTTAAATTTTACTGTCCCGCGTCAAGATCTGAAACAAAACTATCTGTTAGACCTATGGCGCTGTAGATTTCACTTCCAAACATGATAGTCAATACCATGTCTTGCGGGAAAATAGCGTATGGGAAAGGATTGCGGCGTCATTCAGCTTATTAAAAGCATTCACAAAGCGCCAGTCGCTGGTTGCTATCTTCACCCAGAAATTCGGACTCGAATGTGGCAAGATTCTCTCGCAAACATGGCCAGCCTGGTGGCGCCATAAAAATTATCAATCGCGATGTATTGATAACGCGGTGACGGCCACTGCCGCGTCACGCAGTATTTTCGATCCAAGGACGAGATCAATCTCGTGCCGCACTCCATGATCATATGGAAGCTCAGCGAAGATTTGATATTTCCAGATTCTCCTGGAAATATCGGCTAACTTAAGCGGGATATTATAAACTAGATTGCCCCATATATGTAGGGCCTCCCATGACTGTGCCGCGAAGCGCTCTTCGCGTGCTGATTAAGGCTTAGCGCTCTCTGGAAGGGCCTCCACTACTTCTTCACTAGCTGTATCGATGTCAGCGAAGACGGACACTTGCTCGATGTCTCCGGACTTCGGACCATGCAGGAAATATTTCCACTGAAGGACTGTCAGAGAATTAGTCTCTGCAGCATTGCAAGGAGGTTTTGCTACTTCAGTGGAGCGGCTGTGATGCGAATAGCCCTCCACATAATCAAGCGTGCATACGAATTCCGTCGCTACGAAAATCGGCTTGGACACCATGTTGGCGAGAATACATTCGTATCGGTGATCGGCGTGATGTGTTATTGTATTTCTTCTTTCGTCTCGAGCCCCTGCTCGAGACTGGCGCGAAGCTATCGCTGGAAGTAATAAACCCCTCTGGACGTGGGAGCGCAGTCTCTACCACGTCGTCCACATGCAAGTCCTTGGTCCGCTTATTTTTGTCAATAAGAGGCGGGAGCTCGTCGTCGACCGCCTTAAGTGTTTACGGGAGCCCCTTCTCGACCGTCATAGTATAAATCGGTAGCCTCTGCTCAGTCTATTTGTGTGTATATGCGGGATTCCCTATTTTCGACCGCTGCTCCATAAATTGAGAACCTCCGTTCGACTGATGTGATGGAATGCGGGAACCCCTGTTCGGCCGCCGCATGTCGAGTCGGT